TCGACAACAACAGTTGCGTTGTCGTGTGGAGTTGGCCGAAGGTAGACTTACTAGAAGGAGGAATGGATGACGACTAGGGTTTTGATTGACGGGTAGGGTTTTAAAATTAGGGTTTTGTATTTTTGATGATGGCTAGGGTTTTGAGAGTTACGGTTTACTTCGTAAGCTCTAATACCATGTAAATTTGAGTGAATAAAAATATTCTGCTATATTCAAACATGTAACTTAGGTCTTCTTATATAGGAGAATGACCTACTACAAACAAGGAAAGCAATAACTACCTTACATAACTACCATACAGACTAAATATCAACAATAAAGAATAAATATTAACAACTAATATTGACAACTAATATTTACACAAATATTGATAAATCCAACAATATTTTAATTTTAAATATATAATTATATTAATATATCTACTTTCAATCTCAACCATTCATTTACTTTTAATCTTAGCCTTTCATTTTTAGGGTTTTATTTAAGTTTCATCTTCTCACCCTCTTTTCAAAACCCCTAAATCTCACGCCTCTTCTTTCTCTTCCCTCTTAATCTTGTTTCAATTTCCTTTCTCTCACCATCTCGTTTTATCCTCCCTTCTCTCGTCATCTTTGACTCTCTCTTCAGGAGCAGTTCGTCGTTGTTTTCGTTGCCCATAGCAGCAGGTCCACCGCTCGTCGCTGCTGTAGTAGGTTGCCCATAGCAGTGAATCACGTCACGTCGTTGTTCTTCCCACTGCTCTGACATTTGGTGCGATGTCTTTTCTAATGATGAAATTTTCTGAAGTTCATCTCGAGCGTTACCCAACTCCTCCAAACTCTCACAAGGTTCCTCGAGTTTTTTCGGAGCCATCTTCCTAGGATGAACTTGCTCCCAATTTGTAAGGTTTCCCTTGCTATTCCGATATTCAATTAGAATAAATGCTTTCAGGCCATACAAATGCCACAGTCTTTTTGAGAGGACTGAGAAGCTTTCCTACCTAACCTTGCAACAAGCACAAAATAAAACCTACCTCTATAACTTCCTACATAGACAATATAATCCCCCCAGCCCCAACCAACCATACCAAGCTTTCGTAAGGGTTGGCCTCCTATTGGTGTACTCTTGTTGACTCATTCTCACATTATTCTCCAGCATTATCAATGCTAATTGGGGAGTGTTTCTTAACTTGTGTCTTATGTTTTTTTGTTTATTGTAGCTTTTCATTCTTTCGAGAGTTTGCTTCCTTGAACAATTGTATTATCTTTTTATTAATTCAATGAGAAGTTATTCTTATTAAAAAAGAAAAAGCTTTCCTAATGGTCAGTAGGTGAATTCCCTTTCCTACCCTTCCAAGTGTAGGTAATTACTACTGGGGCCTCACAGAGGACCGAGTTAGATACTAAATTATTAATTCAAGAAGAATATTTGGTTTTTTATTCTTCGTTTAGAGGGTAGATAAGGTTTTCCTTGATAAACCATGTATTTTTACATCTAATCAGTTGAAAAGGCTTCCTCCCTAATGTGATTTCTGAAGTAGGAAGAACTGTCTGGTCATTAGATGATTATATAAAACTTGCATTAAAACCTTTCAGGCATGGTATGAAACTGGGTTTTCTGATTCTTATGGAGAAACGGCTTGGGGATCAACAACTCCGCTGAGCTCTACTTTCAGCTATAAAGGTGTGAGTGCAGCAGATACACTGGAACATGAGAGTAAGCTGGAATCAACATATCTGTATATCCAAATGGAATATTGTCCTAGGTAGAATTTTTTCTTGATCTTTGCATTCTCTTCTTGTTTTGTATTTACTATACAATGGACCAGGACGAGTGGTTTTTCTTAAGAGCTTTCAATTTAATTCATAATAAGATCAATATGATAGAGGTCCAAAAGGTTGAAATAAATGTGAATTTTGACCCAGTTTACTTTATAAGTTTTGTTATTTACCTATATAAGTCTATTGCTTGCTTCACTTTTCTTTTGTTGCAGCTGTATTCACTGTATAGCAAGTCAAAAACTATTTGTTGGATTATTTAAAATGGCTTTACTGGCATTAATTGCGTATCCACACTATTGTCTTGCTCCTTTTTATCGTTTGAAGGACTCTTCGCCAGGATTTTGAATCATATACTCATTTTGATAAAGACTTGGCATGGCATTTATTCCATCAAATTGTGGAAGGTTTGGCACATATACATGGACAAGGGATCATTCATCGGGATTTAACTCCAAATAACATTTTCTTTGATGCCCGCAATGATATCAAAATTGGGGATTTTGGTCTTGGTATGATTTATGTACTTCAATTTAATGTCAACTTTATCGCTTTTATTTTTCTGATTATTAGCTTACTTTTTCCTTGTGAGACTCTTCTGGTAGAAAACTGAGATAGTTCATGATGTAGTAGTTTGTTATGTGCTTAAATGTTAGGGTTTTCTTTGTATTTTAGCTCAAGTATTTTGTTTTTTAGAATTAGTTAGGTTATTAGTTAGCTACTGTGGTTAACTTTAGTTAGTTAACCATTATTGTAATTAAAGCCCATTGGTCCATAAGCTAAGCCTATATATAAAGGTTAGGCTTCCCCTTCTTGTACACTTTTTTTATGATCAATAAAATAACGAGCCTAAGGCCTTTTCTACTCCACCAAGAATTGGTATCAGAGCTTGGTAAAATTCTGTCCAAGAAAGATGACTAACACCAAGAATTCAGAAGTGGGTAAGGGAGAAACCTGTTCCGGCGAGCTTCATACGGCTGTGCTCGATATTCAACACCGTATCCTTCCCTTGGAAGGCTTAACCAATCGAATGACAAGGATTGATGAAGCTGTTGAAGAGATACAAAGGGGCTTGAGAGGATTATTGAGGGAGAGAATACAAAGCTTAGTGCAAAATTAGATAAAGGAAACGAGAAAGTTGAGGAAAAACAGCAACCCAATGAAAACAAGATTGAAGAACCTACTGATTTTTTCACTAAGAAATATGAGAGGAAGAAGAATGGTTCAAACCACAAAGAGGAAGGAATTGCACATTCATCGAGCCAAAAGGTCCAAGAATCACAAAAAGTCCAAGAAAAACAAGAAAAGGGTCCAAGAATCAGATTCAACCTCCACAGATGATACTTCGGATTCCTCAAGGGATGATGACAACTGTGCAAGAAAAAGGAGAAGACGAAAATATAAAGTAAAGCACACGGGGTACAAGCTTAAAATTGACTTACCATACTTTGACTCGAGGTTAGACATGGAAAAATTCTTAGATTGGATCAAACAAGTAGAGGATTTCTTGGAATGCATGGATATCCCGGGAAAACGACAAGTGAAGTTGGTAAAATACAAATTGAAAGGAGGGGCAGCAGCATGGTGGGTTCAACTAACCTCAAATAGAAGAAAAATGGGCAAGAAAGCAGTGAAAAAATGGGAAAAAATGAAGAAGATGTTAAGGGCATGGAGAGAGCTATCCTTTTGCTACAAAAGAAGGCCCTTCTTTTGGAAATTATGGCTGAAATCAAATGATAGAAGCTTCAATGACTCTTTTCTCCCTTTTTAATTCCTTTTTCGATAGAGTTATTGTACTGGCGGTAGGTTGGTGTAAATGTTTCTACTCTCCTTGTAATACTTACACTCTAAACGACCTTATCCCTAACTAGAAGGTGTTTTTGTAACTTGCCCTCGTGGAATATTGTATATTTCATACCATCAATGAAATATTTGTTTCTTATTACCGAGCTTAGCTCAACGGTAATTGACACATGTCTTTGACCAAAAAGTCATGAGTTCAAATACCACCACTCCCATTTGTTGTTCAAAAAAAAAAAAGAAATTTTTGTTTCTCAAAAAAAAAAAAATGCAAAAAGAAACGGTTTCTTACGAAGAAAATCATGTTAATAATAAGAAAAGAAAATAATTCTTCCTTAATTACTCCAAATGATTGATACAAGGCTATATAAATAGCAATCACAAAGAAGAAACTAAAAAGAAATTCTTGCCTATTAGGATAAGGAAATACTTACCTATTAGGACAATAAAACCCTAGCCTAAATAAAATAGGAAACATTTAAAATAAAATAAACTATAATTTAACACTCCCCCTCAAGCTGGTGAATGAATATTTTCCATTCCCAGCTTGTTAACCAAATGCTCAAAGTTGTTGTTGTTCAATCCTTTTGTAAGAATATCTGCTATTTGATTGTTTGTCGGTACAAATGGAGTACATATGAGGCCGCTATCTAACTTCTCTTTTATGAAGTGTCTATCAACTTCAACATGCTTGGTTCTGTCATGTTGAACTGGATTATGTGCAATACTAATGGCAGACTTGTTATCACAATAAAGTTTCATAGGCCCTTCCCATGGAATCTTCAAATCTTCTAAAATAATTTTTATCCACAGTAATTCGCAGATGCCCAATGCCATTGCTCTAAATTCCGCTTCTGAACTTGATCTTGCAACTACATTTTGTTTTTTACTTCTCCATGTCACTA